AGAGAGAGAGAGAGAGAGAGGTTGATTTTTCACAAGACTTATAGGCTCCCAAGGAGGTGAGACAAAGAAAAAAGAGACGGTTTTCGTACTCCTTTTTATTTTACTAGCCTATTCAGACACGGAACAAGAGGAAACTGCCAAAAAGTAAAAAAATAAATCAAATAAAGGGTGAAAACGAGAGAGAGACAGAAAGCGAGCAAGAGAGAGAGAGAGAGAGAGAGAGAGAGAGAGAGAGAGAGAGAGAGAGAGAGAGAGAGAGAGAGAGAGAGAGAGAGAGAAATGGAAATTATCAGTTGTCTCTCACCCACTTTTGTCACATGATCGAACACGACAACACTGTTGTAAAGACCAAGGTGCACATCGGGAAGGCCACGATCGTCCTCAGGTGCGTGGTCAAACGGCAACTTTTTTTTCTCAACGTATCGCACGGTGTCGTAGGACGTATAACCCACCCACCCGCCTACGCTAGCATCACAGCATAACATGAGGAGAGGAGAAGAGAGGAGAAGAGAGAGAGGAGAAGACAGGAGAGCACACCCAGCACCACATGGGAGACAATGAAATCAAGCAAAAAACAGACAGTGGTGTCAGCCACATCTGATGAAACCTCCAAGTTCACAGTTCCAAACCCTACAAACCCAACAAACCATCTGTGTGCTAGTAACTTAGTACCCAACAAACCAAACAAACCAAACACAGTTCAAGTATGGGTTATTAACTGTCGTGACTCTACGATCATGATGGGTTTGAGATTTGGTGGCCAGGAAGGCTGTGTGGACCTGATTAGATCATTAAAATGATTAGACTGGCTGCATCTTCTCATCTCACCGCACTGAATTTTCTAGAACCACTCACAGATTTCTTGGGTCTAAAAGACTCTAAACTCTGACCTCTCCTCATGTCTCATCTTGACTGACAATTTTTGAACTCCGGACTGACAATTTGTTGGGTCTAAACTCTCAGGTCTGACAGTGTCTGATGATGTCCCATCTGATTGTATATTTAGACTACTGACATTGTCAAGTAGAAACATGCACACAGTTCTCGTAGTATAAAAAATCACTGTAGTGCCCATAGAGGTATGCGTGGGTGTTGTGTGGACTGCTCGTAATAGCACATATATGTCATAGATATAGTGGAAGCTGTCTCATTTTTTTATCTGCTCATGTGGGTGGAAAAGGGTGACAGTCCAAAACAACCTCTTCTTCACCTTTTTTTGTTTCATGGACGGTTTGTGATGATTGGTGGATGGACTAAGAGAGAGAGTTTTTTATTTTTTTTAACCACACACACGCACGCGCACACACACACACACACGCACACACACACACACACACACACACACACACA